GAACTGGCACCTCAGAGTCTGGTGTACGGAAAGCAGCGCGCACGCAGCTTGACGTTCTACGTAACGTGTCGCCGTTGTCGGATCTAAATTCTAAAAGTTGAGCCATTTCGTCTAGCGGCTAGTGACGGGCTACAGTAAGGATGTTGCATATCCAATATCCAAAGTGTATCCATATCCAAAATATCCTAATATCATATCCATATCCAAGGCCAGCCGGCAGGATACGGATATTTTGGGATATTATAAGATATTTTGGATACACCGGATATGCTTGGATATAGCTTGCATTTTGTTTATCAGAACAATAAAAGCTTAGCCAAAGAATCTACGCTAGATAACAAAAACAATTAGGCTAAGGAGCGATATCCATCTGATTCCTTTCTGTGCTCTATCGCAAGGTGGAATGATTTTATGTTTATTTTTTGTTACGGTTGCTTTTATTTTGTAGGCACAAAGCCAAAAACTGTGGATTAATTTCTGTTACGGAAACGTTTGTTGAGCAGGCTTGAAGCCAGGAAAATCATAATAAAATATGGTAAAATTGACGGTTGTTCAACGGTAGTGGTACGGTAGAAACGGCTTTCGCAAACAAAAAACAAACATTGAAAAAACCTTGAAATCACGTTGTACTTTGCGTCGGATAACGTAGGCCCACCGGTTTTCCGTGCACGAATTTTGACTGTGCTCCAACGGTCCCAGACTCTTCAGCAAACGTTGGGCTAACCGTTGGATGAAGGGCTGTGCAAGTCACTATAAACCTTCAACTACCGGTGGTTTCACGGTCAACCAACGTTTTGTTTACAAGCTGCTTCACTCGGGTAAAGCTCATAAATTCATAAAGCTCCTAAACTCATCACAAGTAAAGCTAATAAATTCACACAATAATCGCGGAACATTACAAATTTCTCGCTTTATGTCTGACTTAGTATTAATTACTGCAGCAATTCGCTTTGAATTTGGCACTGAAAATGCCTGGCTAGTTACCCATCCTAATTATAAATAATGTTTTGTATCATAGTGCCGCAATGCGTTGTACGAGTACATACATAAATAGACCTTTGTTTTCAATTTTACACTAACAATACGGATTCGTATTGGCGGCCCCTTCGCAGGTCTGTTGGCATCAATCGCTTCGCGGAGCGGAGCGGTTCTAAAAATTGTAACCTGATTCCGCAAGAATACAGCAAACTTTTCATCGGCGGAAAATTTGTCTACAGGCTTTTGTTTAGCATTTAGCAGTTTTATTAAAGGAAATGCTACAGTGCTTATGAACAAAGTACTCTTCGACTTGCCTACTGTAGACAGAATAGATATAATTTTTTTAAGGCCTCGTCCCGAATTCAAAGCGAATCTCGTTATGGTACGGTTGCTCAACCACACGAGGTGGCTGTTTGCAGTGGCCACGCCTACAGATACGGTACGCGAAGCCACCTCGCGAGGTGGAGTTGCTGTATCGCAACGAGATTCGCTTCGAATTCGGGACCAGGTCTAAATGTTACAACGTGTAATTACAAGTAGTGTCACCGCGATTGCAGTCATTGCACCTCCTTGTTATTCTAGAGACAAAAAATTATTTAAAAATAATTTTTTAGTTAGACAGGATATATCCGGATACGAAAGGATATATCCATGATAAATCAGGATATATCGTGTATCCAACCCTTAAGTCTTGGATATCCACAACCCTAGGCTACAGTATAGGGTTATCGCGATAAACAGTGAAAACAATTCCTCTGAGTTGCATTTTTTGAGGTTTTTTGAACTTCTAGAAAAAACGACAATTCGATAGACGGTTAATACAAGCATCAGTATAGCATAAAGAATGTCAAACGAAAATTAGCACCCTTCGTTTGTATACTTACATATTTGTTATTACAATAATTACAAAGCCAACGATAATAAATCCAAACTAATGATATAGAATGTAATTAATCTAAATTAATGAAAAAAAAGCAAAGGCAGCGGGCGCAGCGGCACACCAAGCGGAAAGCCGGAATTATTTATTAGCCTCGCAATTATTAAAGGAAACGCCGCGGCTGTTTTGGGAACTTTACCGGGAAAGAACAAACTGGTTGATAATGCTGATTTTGGTTGTTTTTTTAATTCTTAACTGTGCAATGATGGCCGTAGTTTAATGGAATTATGACTGTAATGTCGCGATTTGAACTTAACAAATTAATGATATAAAAATAACTTTGCGACCCTTGAGTCCGTGACCCGGGTGCATAATAACGTAAAACGTAATTCCGTAATCATGCAGCCTATATGAACTGCCGGTTTAATTTTTCAGTAATTTTTAAATCATTTGTTACTTATGTACTTAATATGTTTTTAATGCTGATGGTGAGAAACAAACAATCGCATGCATAAATTTCGGTCGCATTACCTGTATTGTAGCCTTCATCCTTTTTGGCGGAGCACTCAAAATAAAACGGACATAATCAGCAAGTGTAAAAATATAAAATGAGAATGATACAGTAAATAAAATTCCACGGCGAGTTGGTTGAGATTTAAACAAATGTAGATTGATATCCTCCACTCTGCAAGTTTAGCACTGCAGTCTATACTCGCTTCTACACCGCTACTTCCGTCTGCAGATAGAATACTTACAATGCAAAAACGGAAATCGGACCGCGGCTGAAAAATGCAGTACTAACTTTAGCTAACTACAGAGCAACGGGATATTGCGCATCGAGATAATTTTAATGTTGTTGGTTCGAGTAGAGATTATATGCGTTGTTGCATTTCCCAGAGTGGACTTGAATAACTGCATTACAACTGCATTATAACACTGCATTGAGTTTGTATAATCATATCAGTGGCAGGTCTATCGTACTATCCGTATATTCGCATTTGGCACGATTATTGCTAATGAATATTTCATGGTTGCTAGCCGCGCCCGGACGATCACGAACGCCAGCACACAAGATCAAGAAAGCTGCATCTCGTGGAAAGCGCGGAGTGTACGAAAATATGGTGCGCCGTCTGGACGAGTCACATCAGCTGATCAGAATAAGCCGACCCGTGTGAGCGGGAAAAAATCAGAGCATGAGCTGGAACCCCTGCTGCGCGCGGTGCGCTACGGAACAGTGTTAATATACAATGTTTCTTATGTTTTCTTAGGTTAATTCTTAAGCTAACTTATGTGCTGTGTGTTAAAATTGTGTGTTACAGTGTTACAGTATGTTAATTATGGTTTTCTTGTGTTAATTCTGATGTTTTCTTATATGTTACAATTGTGTGTTACAGTGCTACACTGTAACCGGCCTGCGCGGAAAGCTGTAACTAATTAGAACTTCTGCTGAAAGCGACACATAAAAACTTTACCGAATCTGAAGTACGGAATCGAAGTCAAAACTTACAGGATTCTTCTCAAAATTCTTAAAATAATTTCGGACTTATAAGTTGCATTTAAAAATTGGAGAATTTAATTCTCAGAAAACGGGGACTACGATTTGAATTCAGGTTAAACTACGTGTTGCAGCTTCGTAGCTTTGAAATGATTAAATGCTGCTGGAACAGAACTGTGTGCAGTGTGCTTAAACTACAGATCTGTATTGTCCAATAATTTAATTCAGTAATATTCTGCAACCGGTTAGTGTTACTGCGCGTTCAGAGGTCATCCAGAGCAAGTTTTAAAATTATTTGGATGTAAAATGACTTGGATCAACGGATTTGAGTAGACGCTCGCATCATATACGTACTCCATATATAAGGGAATTTAACTGCAGAGGCAAACACTCCTTGTACTTGCTGCCGTCACTCGGCTGGAGTTTTACGTTGTGGCTAAACATGGTGCTTATGTACCGCGCCTGATTTAACCATATGTATTGCCGTAACGTCACACTCCAGGCGGGTGACGGCAGCAAGTACAGGGAGTGCTGGCCACAGCAGTTAAATTCCCCCTATATTATCCCATTTTTGCACGACCAATATCCTTTAGCATGGCTTTCCATAAAAGCCAGATAAAATCATCGACGCGAAGCGGGATATTGTCTTCGCCAGCCCATATCTTCCGGAGCGGGCTGTTTACTTTGCACATATGTGCATGCTTGAGGGTCAGCTTACTTGTACGCGTTTTAACATGAAGGTGCCCACGTGAAGGTGCAATATAACGTGAAGGTGTACGTACCTACAGATACTTTCCGAGTTCCGGTCACACATATATTGTAGGCACCACGCGTTATTGTTTGGAGTACTGATATTCGTATTCCGAAAACCTATAAATTACATTGCTTTCGACTGAAGTTAAAGATGAAGGCTTACTTCGACAGGGTTACTATTAGCTATTACCGCTACAGCTCTGTATTAGAAATACCTAGAACTCAGAAGTATGGTATTACTCCAGGCTGCTCACAAACAACACATTTATTAACGGCACTTACAAGTTAAACTGGCTGCATAATTAAGATAACAGTGCATTAGGTTGATAACCAGGGCATGTTCACTTGCCTTTCCTCTCAGAAAAATTCCGTTTTTTGTCTGAAGATAGTAATAAAATCATAGTATGTGTCACGGGAATGCCTAGAATAGTTGCATCGACAACGATCCAATGGGCGTGGTCAAAACCCAATATTTTGAGGACACCGTTATCCTATGTATTGGCAATGCATTACTTGCCATAGACGTACTACAAATATATCATACCAAAAAGCGAAATTTTTCTGAGAGGAAAGGCGATGACCATGCCCTGGTAAGCCAATCCAATAACAATCACAATATCAGTCCAGCTGCAAATGCGTGCAACTGGGCGTTTCCTAGTACATCTACCCTGTGTGAACGGCTCTGTACACGAAGAATTAATCTGTATCTGGTGCCAACAACGACCGGTTCAATTTCAGGCTACAGTTCGTGAAACAGGATTTGAATTTCTTAATAGGTATCTCGCCGAAAGCGAGATCCAGAAAAAGTTTTAACCAGCTCGATGCAGCGGAAACAGTTTACGGTGAATGAGGGTTTTATTTTAACATTTCCGTTATAGTGTATGAACAATACGGGTTTGCTATGCCCGATATATTTATGTCGCTCCTTTTTGGCGCTCAAGGAAGTGATAAGGATATATCAATGAATGCGCAAATGATGCTCCAGTAACAAATTCATAAATTGTGAAAACTTTTATACATATCACCAATGTTATTGACCAGATTTCACCGCATGAACGCAGTAGTCGTGCAGCGTATTTTCCCATTGGTATTTTATAACGTGCTTGCCCATCTTCGCCGGTTTTCGAGTTTTAAACAGACAACCTGTACATACAGTATAAGAAAATCCCGGCGGCACAGAGTTGCTCATGCTGTGTGCCGGCCAAATGTGACAGGAATGCTTCCTGTTCATCCCAGATTAGATGGCACATCCGGCACTGATACCTAGCGCTGCTGCGGCTCGGGGTCGCATTTAGTGACTGACACACGGATATCTCGGAAGCAGTCCCCTTGCATCTGTTCAGCGAAATACTGGAATATTCCGTAATTTTTTCATCTTCCTTTTGTTGGTCCAAGGAGCGTTGTTCAGATGCGGTGTCGATTTCGAAGCCAGCTTTCAAAATATCGGCTTCCATCTGATTTCTGCGAACTGAATAATAAAAAAGATATGTTTACGTTTTCATATAAATTAGAAACTTTTAAAGAATGCGGTTATTACAATACTATTTACGTACTGTATCTACACAAGTTTAAGAGCCACAAAAAAGTCCGGGTGCGCGCAGAATATCCGACGGCTTTTTTGAACTTCAAAGAAGCCGCGCGCTATTGTTTACGGCTTCCGCCATTTTGGTGGCTCTTAAACTTGTGTAAATACAGTATATAACTTATGTACATATCGTCAATGGTACCTTCACTTTTTGTATTAATCTGATCATAATCCGATGGATGCTTAAAATACTTTTTTGTACTAAGTGTATCATTATTAAAGCGGTTATAATTATATCAGGCGAGGGTTTCTTCACGAGGCTGGCACAACCTAAGGGAAATGGCCCGGTACATGGTGGCAAAAATGGGATACATACACTAAACTTCCGCTTTCGCGCACTCCGAAATCACGTTTTTGTAAAACTTTATGTCCTAATACTTTCGGTATTGGCCCTCCTATTTGGTCTGTAATTTTTGGTGTACGAAAACTGCAGCTAGCAACAAATCATTAAAGCGGTTTTATTAATAACTTATTGAAAAGTAGTTTTCACGAAAGTGAGAAGAAATGTATTTTTTTGACATATCGTTCCGGTTTTTATTCGTTTCGATGTTTTCCTGGATCTCCCTAGCTGCTGTAGTAGGGAATTCGTTTTCGCACATCCCGTCATCCTGAAACATTTTGGTACCTTCAGCTAACGCGCTTTTGGAGTTCTGCGACGGCACATCCTCTTGCGCGGTTTGATCCTGTTGGCGACCATTCCTTGGATCCCGTCTTTCGTTGGGACGTTGTTTGCGCACAAAAGCGCCCTGATTCGTAACCACGTTACGATGGTCCTTAGCCGGTGATTTCGAAGGAGAACAGATTGACGCCGGCTCGTAGATCGATCTCGACCGGTGTCGCGGTTTTGTGAGAGATGAACTGGCATTTTCTATTATATTTTGCACCAGCAACCGTGACGTTTTCGTCTGACGCATTATGGATCGTATAGACCAGCGCTGCTGGAACAGCTGGAGAACAGTCGGCCGCAACGCTTCGTACCGCTTTCGATCCCTTTCCCGAAAAATAACCGGTCTCCCAGCTGCGCGCAGCCGCTGGCGAATGCAGTGGCGCGACAAACCGAATTTTCGCATAAGGTAAGAGCAGGTGCGACCATTGTCAAATTCGTCGACGATTTCTTGTTCCTTTTTTGGCGGGAGGTCGGAAGTGTCCCGGGAATGGACGCTCGCAGCCGTTGCTTCAGTGAAGCGATTTGCACACCCAGGCGACGCAATCGGTTCAACTGCAAAATCGGCCGGGTGGTTTGGCATTATACCGCAGTGTATGGCGCTTGCATCCGGGCGGGAACTGGACATTTCGGCATCAAGATGACATTCAGGATTTCCGCCCTTCGGAGTTCGTCTTAATTGGCTGCTTAGGAGCGGCAGCGGTTGGGGGGAATCCGCGTCCCTCGCAGCATAATTCATAATGCTACTAGAAGCGGCACCAGTCTCTAGACTCTAATCTACTGTAATATTAAAACTCCATAAATAGTCGTTGTGATTTTCACCTCCGATTTTTGTAGTTGATTTTGGGGAGAAGGCCCATCATGTTTCGAACCTACAAGAAATAATATTTCTGTACGTATCGATGCTATGCTATTTCCAGCAAATAAATCGTGACGAAGGAATTCTAACACTGAGTTTATTTTCCATAACGGCACAAGGTTGGGAGTTATACCCGACTAACGATTATACCCCATGGACGATGTTTATATGAGCTTATACTCTGTAGAGTTACGTGAGCTTTTGCCAGTTACACTACAGTTACTGTAAGCTTTTTTGGGTATCATGTTACGCTCCAGGGGTATGTGTGTACAGTCAGTACAGATACGTACTATGTTTCTTGATACATAGAACACCGATTCCGGCCGCAGTACCTCTTACCTGTACCGTAGAACTTCATCCTTTTTGGCAGATCACTCAAAATAAACGGGCATGATGAGCAAGCGCATATTTAAAATCATGAAATATTATAAATAAAATGGTACGGCAAGATGGTACAGATTTGAACAATTGCAGAATGATATGCTCTATCCTGCAGGTGACACTGTGGTCTATACTCTATACTGTATTCTGCACCGTCACTTCCCTCTGCAGTACTTACAATACGAAAACAGATGTCGGACCGCGGTTCAAAAAAGCAGTACTGATTTCAACAAACTGTCTGCAACGGTAAAATATGCATTGGGCAGTGAAACAATATGTTGCAGGATCTAACAGAGATATATACAGAGTACCTTTCCTAGAGCAGACCTGCAAAATTGCATACGAGACAAGACTGTACAAAACTGTAGTATGTACAATATGTATGAATAACCAGACAGGCTATGGCAAATTCGCCCTTGGCACGATTATTGCGGATGAAATATTTCAAGGTTGCAAGCCGCGCCTGGCCGCTCGAGCACACAAGATCAAGAAAGCTGCACTATATGGAAAAGGCGGAGCTTTTACGAAAATACGTCACGCCGTCCTGACGAGTCACATCCGCTGATAGGAATAAGCCGATCCGTGTCAGCGGGAAAATACGAAAGCATGGGTTGCGAGCCGCTGCTGTGACTGTGAGCGACGCGCTACGCCACAGTGTCGATGGTACAATTTAACAGCGTTACGAGTGCGTGGTACAATGTAACCGGACTGCGCCGGAAGCTGTGAATACTAAGTCCTCTGGTGAAATAGGCACATAAAAATATTCCCGAATCGGAAGTTCTGAATCACAGTCCATTACATGATTCTTTTAAAAATTCTTGGATGATGCGCACCCAAAGACCTTCCGGACCAATTTAAACTATTTGGCTCTGAAATGACATAAAAAGGCAATACTGTAAAGTTTTCAACGACCGTTTAATGCGAACTCTTATCTGCATGAGCTCGCTTTATGGACTTCCCCCCGCAAGCAGGCCCAGCAAACGTGTGCCCACGTAACACAAAGTGTGCTCACGCAACGTGCACGTGTTCACCTGAATGATAACTTGTGCTAAAAACCTGCTTAAAAATGGCCAGTACTCCCGCCTTTCACGTAATTATACGGTTTCTGATGTTAACTTCATTTTCAAAATTATTCCTAGTGTCCATTAATAACAACAACACCGCACCTCGGCCGGAAGTCAGTATGGCCACTCGCAAAGTCAGCTTGCATCTGTATCAGACCGAATCGAAATGCCGCATATGAATTGGCGTTGTATATGTACATACGAGTACTTGCACGGTAATATTATTTTGTTGTAATTGTGCAAATGCGTAACGGTTGTAGATATTGCTATCGACTGAAGCTAATGCCACAGTAAGCTTAAAACCAGCTGAAACGTAGTTGCTAGTTAGTCAAACCTTGCAATAAACTTCAAAATTCCTTAACAATTTTTTCGTTAACTATGGCTGCGTACTTAACCAGCTCATGAATGATGCTAAACCTAATTACACGAGACTATAATAACCATATCCTTAACAGAAATGACCACAAACTTAACAGAAATTTATATTACTAAAGGGACAGTACAGTCGACCGAAGCATACCGAAGGAATCCATGTTCACGGATTATTCTGTAGAAATACGTTATTTTTATAGATGGTATTCGACCGTTGGTCACCGCCACTAAATGCACATGTGCGCATTTGTTATGCCTATCAAATGGAAATATGCGCCGTGGCCGTTTGTATATACTCCCACCACTGGTGGTGTCCTTCCGTCGGCCCGCCACCTTTTATTTAAGCCCCCGGATACACTAGCGGCCAGCGATCATCGTGGTATCCGTTCGTCGGTCACCACCGCCGGAAGTGAAAAGGACAATGGCAAGCTACTGTTTAAACTTATGGCTGGTGATAACCGTGGTGTCTTGTTTATTCCCGAAGCCCGTTCACTTGTTGCTGTAGTTGTTAAGCATCGAAGTAGTCACCAGGCGGAAATTTTGCAAGTGCTGTAGAAAGCAAATATAATTTGTTTCTCTCTAGCTCTCAGTAAAGTACTTTAAAAAAACGACACGTGCATTTTATGCTCATTTTCAGCTGCAAAAGCATCAAGCCAAACATTAGTGCTTCGGATTACTGTCAGACGGAAACGTAAAATCTCCACCTAATACCTCCAAGGAGGTCGTCATGGCATCGCATTTCATGAGGCTCAAAAATAAATGTACCCGAATCACTGTACTGAAGATTTCATGAATTTGTAGAAATTAAATAAAAATGGGAAATTTTCTTTAATAAAAAATATGAATTTGTATTGTCAGAGGCACATGACTGCGCCTGGTGCATACGGCCCACCATGGACGTATTTGCACTCATGCTTGCCATATCGCCTCTCTCGCTGTACGTACGTGTGCTGCTGCACTGTACTCGTATCCGCTGAAGCGGATATACGCAGCGCACACACTGAGCATACTTGCTCTCTCGTCCCTCTTTCGCAGTATGACTCAGCGTTCATACGCTCGCGTTGGATCGAGTCCAGTCTGCGCATCAACACACAGCTGATGGCACACAGCACGTGCTTGCCGCCAGTTGCTTCTTTCACGCCTTGACGGACGCTCAAGAGCCTTTTCAGCATACACTTGCTTAGCCATCAGTGCTTTGTTTTGCTTTCCTGCTATTACGCAGCATTGCTCCCCTTTATTTGTCAATAAAGCATCACTCGTTATCTCCTCGTGCTTGCCTGTTACATGGTAGCAGATTCATACGGTTTTCGATCCCACGGAATCTTTGAGGAGACGGTGAAGGCTTCACTTTCGGAGAACTCGCGAGGAACCTGAAAGTCACTGTCAGACTGATTGCTGAAGCAATCTCTGCCTTGACTTTGATCGGACTGATCGCATCGTCTTACAGCTGAGGAATAACGAGGATCACTGAAGTGATTCTCACCCAGCTGGTGAGCACAGTTTTCTCGGTCTCTTCCACATTGAAGAGCACATTCCCAACAGCACGGACTTCTCCCAACCGACGGACCAGACTCGAACGAGAGTCTGCAGCGCGAACGGATTAATCCAATTATACGGGGACCATCGGTTTGAACACCGACCCGCAACTCTAACAGCGGATTTCAGCACGGAAACGACGGATTTCCGACCTCGGACGGAGGAAATCGACCGGAACCGACACCGACACCGACACTGGTAAAGTCACGGTTATAGGTCGATTTTAGCCGCAACTAGGTCGGCTTTTTACTTTCTAACGGTAGAAAACTATTTCTAGCCGTAAGTTTAAACTTTTCATCGGTTAAAAAGTAATTTCTGACGGAGAAACCGACTCGAATTTTGCTTTTGGTCGAGAACCGACCTGCTAGGTCAACGAACCTGTCTAGACAGTTAGACAAAGGCTAACCGGCAACAGGTCGGAAATTCTTTTCTTTTCAATTTCTAACGGTGTTTCGACCACCAGAAAATTTTCTAAATTAATAAAACTAATTTCTAACGGTTAAAAACTTCAAAATCCGACTAGATAAACTTTCTAGCCGACCTAAAATAATTTGTTTTTCTAACGGGAAATAGCGCGAAAATTCTCGAACTTCCTTGTGACGTCATAACGACCGCTTATCAGTACTTTAGAGGCAGCCAATCAGAGTGCAGGGGAAAGTTCCCATAGCCTAACATAGGCGTGATTCATCGTTTTTTGTAAAATTTGCACACGGCTCGCATTCTACGACGTAGGCAGAAGTGCAAGACCACTTAACCTGTTACGTCACACTGGTCAGCACAGTAACATAGGACGTACTATACCGTACTACTATTACGTACTGTACTGTACCATTGTACTGTATATTAATACCCTGTGTACTGAGTCACCAACAGACACATCAACAACAACAACAACATTTCATCGGACGTTCCTGACCCTCGGAAGTTCCTGAACAAAAAGACGTTCCTGACCTTACCGAACAACCTTCACACAGAAGATTGTTTGATTTTCTTTTTCTAACCGATAAAACTTTTAAGGCTCCATCAGAGCCGACCTGAGTTGCCAACAATGTCGAACTCTCGAGAAAACGAGTACGCGAGAAAGTTCAACAAGGACTACTCTCGGCGTGCGAACATGACCGGAAAGTACTCACTTCGGTACGCCGGTCAGGACACGAGTCAGCCGTCCTCAACCGACTCGACTAAGTCGGCCGAAGCAAAGGAGAGACGCAACGAACGGATCCTCCTTGCTGACTCGAATCCGACCTCGGACGACAGTTTTGAGGACGCCAGGGATAAAACATTCCTGGACACCCAAGCTGACGTAGCAGCCCCGTCCCACCCGACAGGGGATGGAACAGCTGCAGGCAGAGACCACATTGTCTCATGCCGACCAACAGTCGAGCTCACAAAGAGCTCAAGACTCGGTAACGGTCACAAAGACCACCGAGCTCGACCTTGACCGACTTCGAGCAAGATGCCATAAACTGATCACTCAGATCGTTTTGGCGGATAAAATCGTCGATTCGGCGGAAGGAACACTCCGGAACTCGGAGGATACCCATCGGCTGGAACGCACCAGATGGGAACGCGACATGGCGGATGCTAACAAAGGCATCGCTCTCCAACAAAAGGAGATTGATCGGCTAACCGCCATATTGAAGCGAGCCGACCTACCGTGCCGATACGAAGATGACCAAATCGCCATGCTTAACGGTAAGCTGGATCGGTCAACCGCGGCAGTCTTCGAGATCAAACACGAACTCGACGAGGCGAACAAAGCACTCGAAGAGACAAAGAAAGAACTGGCCGATGTACAAACAGCATTGGTCGAGTCGGAACAGGCAGCAGGTGCGTTCCACCAACAACTTAATCAGGCCAACGAGGAAGCCGAGGTCTATCGCAACGAAGTCGATAGATACGTAACCGAACTCAAGAAGGCCGATAACGAGATCGACCGACTGACACAACGAAATGATGAGCTTGAGTCGGAGATGGAACTCCTCTTCACCAGGATGGGACGTCGGTTCATCGATGCGAACGCTCGGGACATGGGCTTTCCTAACCAAAAAGACAGCCGACGTCGACCTGGTGGAAGCAAATGCCCAGCTAGCCGACCAGGTCTATGGACTGAATCAAGTCCTCAAGGAAGAACAGAAACTCCGAGCCCAACTGGAGTACAACCTGAACGAGGCTCAGAAGGTGAACGAGGCGCAACACAGCCGCATTCTTTACCTGGAGGCCCGCGAGGTCGAACTGTACGACTTCGGCGAACAGGCAGCCCGTAACCTCACCGAAATGATGAGGCAAATGGACGAGATGGACACGGAAACACGGTGTCTAAGGGAGGAGAAGAAACACCTGGAACAAAGCCAGGTCGAACTTCTTTCATACCGGGAACAAAGCCGGGTGGAACCCCCCTCATACCGAACGTCCATGGTACAGGACCAACAACAGTCGCGAACAATAAGCGACATCCTGTGGGGAAACAACCCAGCCCAAGAGCTAGCGAAGAAGGAGAACAACACCTCCTACTTCGTTGGAGTCTTGACCGCCGACCCAAGTGTGGGGACAATCCCACAACCACCACCCGTACCAAGTGCTCCGGAACCGGAACACAATACGTCGACCGCGGCACCACGAGTACCAACGTCGAATGTGGCGACAACGACGTCGGCCGGTGCATACACTAGCACTTCGTACGCGACGCGCACAACAATGTACGCGCCGGTACCTAACGCCAGAGGAGACCGGACAACGGACGCCGAACGTCTCCCAGCCCAGCCACTAAGACTTGGCATGGAAGCATACCGTCCACCACGGACGAACTCTAACCCAAACTTCCTCCGCCAGAATCCGCAGTTCGACTTTGAACGCGGACGAGCTCGGTCATTCAACGTGGATGACCAGCGCCAGAA